TTGTATTCTGAGAAAAACTCAGGAGGAAATCCATCTTCAAAGAAGTAGAGACAGATTCCAGCCAATCTCCAATTATCAGAAGATATGAAGTTACCTAGGGGCTTGACTAAGCACACAAGGTCTTTGAGTATCAGAAGAAACTGCAACTTGGTCATTTTTGCTCAAATAGTGTAGGTAGGAAAGTTCACAAGAATCAAGCATCTTAGTCCTTTTCTAAACGTGTAAGTGTGCTCCATAGATGTGCCCACTCCTTTTAGAAGAACAATGCCCCAACTTTGTGATTTTTTTTTTAAATTCAAGAGGTAGTAATTTTGAAATAAGCTTGAAACATCCCGTTCTATGGGTTCTGTTCCTTCCGTTCATTTCTTTGCTTGCTTTGGGAAATGGAAATGATTTGTTGGTTTATTTTCTGATATTTTAATTTTTTGTTTATTTTTTTTTCCTTGAAGCAAGGTTTCTAAACAATAGGAAAGTGCTGATTCACTAGTTAGTGTAAATTTGAAGGTAAATATGTTCATAAATGTCCCTTTCCAAGTTGTTACTTTTTCTCAACAGTCTATTAGAAATTAACGTATATTTTAATTGCAGAAATATCATTTTGAAAACACCAAGACATTTCTGAAAAGTGTTTTTAACCCTTGGTCAAGGCTGTCAGTAAAATTATCAGAAATATCAATATGATGTGAACAAAAATGTGCTAATACATGGTGAACATCACTTGGTTTAATAAGCTTCATCTTTCTACTTGATTTGCTTTTGACAAAAGAAATCTCTGACACCCAGAAACAGGTTGGGGAAGGAAAAATGATGTAGAAAATTTCCATTTCTTGCTCATCTCATTACAAATATGTCCTCAGAGTCTATCGTGCCCCAGAACTTTGTATAAATAAAAGTGAGTTCTAGCTCCAGGATTTACATCTGTACCACCCCCTATGGAATTCCAGGGCAACTCCACGTTGTTCTTGGTATTGTCTTTCTTAAATATAAACATGTGTTATAATCACACTAACATCAATATGCCAGCAGAGACCCGTGTATTATTCTATAAAAGCAATTCATATCCACTACTATCACCAATAACAGGAAGGGAAGAGATTGCAATTTAGCAATTATTAGGTTGTCAATCAATAGATTTTTTTTTCTCTTCTGGAAAGGCAATGGTAAATTTTTGTATTGTCAAAGCCAAACATTGCTATTGTCAAAAGTCAGTTAGGAAAGATACATTTTAAAAATACTACTACAGTTTCTCTCTCTCCCTTATGCATATGAGTTACATCTTGGGATAGGATGATGGCTCAGAGGGTAAAGGTGTTTGCCTCTAAACCTGATTTTGATCCCTGAGACCCACATAGTGAGAGAGACCCAACTAAATCAAAGTGCCTTCTGACCTCTACACATGCCAAGGCATGCTTGCCCACACGTTTACACATACATACTAATATAAACAAACAATAAATACATGATGATTAAAAATTTTAAAAGGCATTACATCTCAAAGGGTCAAGGAAGGAGTTTATAATTGCAAGCTTTCTAGAGTAAATGCTCCCAGAATAAGGTCACGGGCCTGGGTGGTTTGACCATCTGGAACCATAAGGGTCAAGATGAAAATGGGGTCAGGACCCCAGAGGTAAAGGGAAGCCTGACTAGTAGTTCATTAAACCCATGGAAATCCTATTGGCTTTTTTGATGAGTTTCCTCATCGTATCACTATTGAAGTGTGTTTACCACAACAAGAGGCAGTCTTTTTCTTAGGTCTGCCTGGCTTTCACTCTGTAGACCAATAGTTGGCCATCCGTGGCCCTCAAGCCAATCCTCAACGTAATGTCAGCAGTACACAGCTACACCATCTGTCTGCTTAGTACAGTTGGACTGCAGAGCTGACCATGGTGAGGGAGACAGTAGATCCCACACTGTATTTATTGTCCTGGCATTACAGAAAAAAACAGTTGACAACCCTTGCTTTAGACCCTTAACTGGTATAAACAGGAGCTTGTTAAACTTAAGTCAAATCGATCTGAAGATTACTTAGCATCAGATAAGGATCCAAAGTTTGTTAAACTATCATTGTTTAGATTGAGAGGCAAGAAAAATCTACACTGTGGAAAAATAAAGGAGGTCTGACTTTCTTCTTTAAACTACCATGTATTTACATTGTTGAAGGTGGCCCTGCTTCTCACAGTACAGAAAGTAGAGAAGGCTCTGACGTCAACACCCAGAGATGTTTGCCATAAACTCAGCTCAACCCTTTTCTTTCCTTGGATTCTTTCCACATAAACCAGTTCATTTACTTTACATGGTTGATCATAGCTATACTTTGTGCTCATGTGTTATACAAGGTGTTTTGGTGAATTATGCAGTCTTTAGCATGGGACAAAACAGATGGCAAAGTCACTGGCTCCCTTACAGCTGCCTGATTACAAAATAGGTTCCTTCAGAGTGAGTCCCTGATGCAAGATGTGAACAGGAGATGATGGTGACTGTCAACCAGGAAGCCAGTACTTTGATTTCCGGATTTTTGAGGGAGGTTTAGTTTGGTGATTGTTAAGGCCCTTTGCATTTCTAAGACTGTGATCTTTATTATTTAGGACTAGAACATTATATAAAAGCAGACAGTATATTCAAATTTTTATATGTTTACGTGCGGGCTGTGTATGGAGGTATGTGGGTATAGGTGCTAGTCTATGTGTGTAAACAAGCGTGTGGGGGCCAGAGGTTGACGTCAGGTGTCTTCCTCAATCACTCCCTGCCTTATTGTTTGAGATGGGGTCTCTCACTAAACCTAAACCTGTCTGATTTGACTAGACCGGCTAGCCTGTGAGTCAAAACAACCCTCTCCTCTGTACTTCCTCTGCACTGGGCTTGTAGGCATGTGCTGCCATGCCCCTCTTCTTTGTGTGGGTGCTGGGGTGTCCATGCTTGTTTACCAAACGTTTCATCAACTAGGCCGTCTCCCCAGCACCAATGTAATAAAAGTACATTCATTCTTTTTGATAGACTTAATTATTTTTATTTATGTATATGTGTGAGTGCCTGCTTGAGTTTATGCATGTGCATGTAGGTGCCCATAGAGGTTAGAGACCATTGAATCCCTGGGAGTTGGAGTTACAGGCAGTTGTAAATCACCTGATACGGGTGCTAGGAACTGAACCTGGGTCCTCTGGAAAAGGAATACTCTCTCTTAACTGCTGAGTCATTGCTCCAGCCCCAATAAAAATGCCTTCATTCTTTGAAAAATATTTTTATTTATTATTTTTATGTGTCTGAGTGTACTGCTTGCATGCAGGCAGGTGCATTCGCGTTGTGCAATGCCTGAGGAGGTCAGATGAGCGTGTTGAATCCCCTGGAACTGGAATTACAAATGGTGATAGACCCATGTGTGTGCTGGGAATCAAACCAGGGTCCTCTGCAAGACAGCCAGTGCTCTTGACCTGTGAGCCATCTCTAGTCCCCAAATACCTTCATTCTTAAATTAGGTTACTCAAGAATCATGACTGATGATTAAATGTCAGGAGCACTAAAGTTTAGAGAACATCGAATTTGTTCCAAATTTCATCTGTGAAATATAGTTCTGTTGACTTACTACAACCTAGAATCACCTGGGAAGAAGGTGATCCCTCAGTGAGGGATTTTCTACATTGGGATGGCCTTTGGGCATATCTGTGGGAGACCATCTTCATTAACTGATGTGAGAGGTCCCAGCCCAGTGTGGGTAGCATCAGTCCCTAGGCAGGAGTCCTGAACTGTGTAAGGCTGGAGGAGTGGAGCTGGACAGGAGCAGGCGAGTGTGTGAGTGTGTATCTCTCTCTCTCTCTGTGTGTGTGTGTGTGTGTGTGTGTGTGTGAATTCCTTCTCCCTCTGCTCTTAACTGTGGACGTGACCAGCCATCTCAAGCTCCTGCTGCCTTGACTTCCTGACAGGGAAGGGCTGTCACCTGGAATTATGAGCTAAAATAAATGCTTTCTCTTCTGGGTTGCCATTTATCACAGTATTTTGTCACAGCAACAGAAATGAAGGTATGATAGAATCCATCATTGAAATGAATGGGATTGATTACCTGGCCCATCACCTATTCATGTCACATGAAAATATGACCCTGTTGTCAATATGTGCATTTATAATGACATATACATATATATAGTTAACATCATACTTTGGATGTTCATAAACCAAATGCATTACAAACATAGACCAGGTCTCCAAATATCAGCCACAGGGCAGAAGTGGCCCAGTTCTAAGTCCTGACTGGCTCTTCTCAGGGGGCCAGTGCCTGTCAAAGCCCACTCTTTAACTCTATCAGGTCTAAGAACATCTTCATTTTACTGAATTAACAGAACTAATGTATACATATTGAAGCAAGGACTCAGCTCAGCACCTTGTACGAGATACTACAATGACTCCAAGTGTTTCTGAGCCTGAACAGCTGAGTAATCGTCAACATGTCAGGGCTTTATTCTCCTATGATATCAAATAATGTTGCTACCACAGAATGCTGAGCCCTGTCCTCTGAATGTCTGAATTGGTTTGGGTGAATGGAAAACTGAAATTTCTAAGTCTCCACAGCTACTGATGCTTATCATGGGATCCCATTTTGAGAACTGAACAAACGTGTCAGTGAATCATTAATTCTCAGCAGCTAACCCTGTACTTGACAGCATATGTACAGAATAAAATGAAGCCCTCTTTTTTTTTTTTTTCAATTTCACTTGAATTAGAAGAACTGAGATGAGGGCAGGCAAGAGGGCTCAGAAGGTAAAAGAGATTACCACCATGCTTGATAACCTGAATTTGACCCCCAAGACCTGGCGGAAAGACAGAACTGACCTAGCAAGTTGTCCTCTGATCTCCACAGGCACACATCTCAAACACACACCCACATACCCCATCATATACACAGAGATAAATATAAACAATAAAGAATTGAGATGGAGGCTCCTTTTTTTTTTCTTTTCTTTAGTTTTAAACAGAGTTTTGTGAGAATGCAGGCATCCTCCAGTACTTACGTCATAGCTTGGTAAATGGATTCAACCCCGTAACGCATGGCAAACTCATCCACTATTTCTTGGGCAGCGTCATCAAAGAAAACCTTCCAGGCTTCATCACCTTTGACCTCTGGGATTTTCACACCACCATTAGATTTCACTTCAGTCAAATAATGAAACAGGTTCTGAAAACAAGTAGTGTTCAGTTGTTCAGGGATTCCTCCAAATATGCTAGACATACTTATCTATAATTTTCAGGAAAATGCACTCATATTACCATCATTTCTAATGTTTTCCTGCCTCTGAAAGCAACAACAGTATCTTCGATTTTTAAAATTAGGTTTATTATACAAAAATCTGCCTTCTGCCTAAGAGTATACAGAAGCAATAATTCAAATGCTTTCGTACATAGCCAGCTATTTTAAGTAAAAGTTTTTGCATGTAACTTTCTACACGATAAGACATATTTTGTATTCATAGACTCTGAGTAAATTACAGTATCCTGGGTGAAAGTTGGGACATTTACCATGTTAATACAGGACTTAGTTGCATAATGATATGAACAGGCTTCAGATATAGTATGGTAACGTCAGGACACTGAGTCTGATTGAAAATAAATGTCTGAAAATTGTAATATTGAAAAGAAAACACTATCCTCAATTCTGTTTTATATCTAACAAGCTTGGGAGCGGCAGCCTGGATGCCCTGAGAATGTTTATGTGGATTCCAGATCTTTTATTTATTTATTTATTATTTA